GTAATTAGAAAGCATGATAAACACAAACCAGCCTTTGAGAAAAGAAATCCAATTGATTTATCATAGACCAAATATATTGTAGATACAAATTTATTTTTTATTATTGATTTATACTAAATAATTCTGGGTAATTACCACCAATAACGGTTTCAGCAACTCCTTTACCATCTAATTACTGTTTGTTTTTTAGAGATATAGATATAATTAAGTGTTAAAATTAGACGGATGAAAAAATTGTCAGAAAATGAAGTCATTAATGGTGTAACGTTGTAGGCCAGTAACTTGAAGATCGAAATGGGAAATATATTGCGAAAATGCAGGAAACGTTTTTTATTTTATAACTTGTGATATATATATATATATATTTATGTTCAAACATGTACTTAAAGAACAAAATTTCTAACGCGAGCTACCAAGGAATATTTTTTTACAGCCAAAAAACACTTAGATTTTTTCGATCTTTGTTTTACCTATAACTACTAAACGGTGCATCAAAGCGGAAACTCTTTAAAAATTAAAGAACGTTAAATTTCGCATCGAATGAGTACCTAAACTTAATAATTTGGTCAAGTTGTATAGTAGAAAATCACGGTCAACGAACGCTTATTTTTACCTAATATGTCAAAAACTGAGACAAATTACTATGAATGACCATGCAAGCTTGGAAATGACTTCTATAAAAGAAAAACTCATATAATAAAATTGTAGTGCATCAAATTCCGCGTCCACTGAGTACGAATAGTTTTAATCTAGGTCACTCCACTCGAAATCCGTAATTTCTTTATGGCAGGAAATTTGTACTTAAAATACGTGTGATTTTCAATATTTTAACAGTATGGGTATTCATTCCAGGGATTTGTTATTTTTTAGTCTCCAATAAGCAGCATAGACCACCTCAGCAGCGAAGGACTTGGAGAAAAGACGTGTCAAAAGTGTTCTCAAATGTACTTTATACAAAGCTAGCTCCATTTGCAGATAAAGAACTAGGTAATTACCAGGCTGGATTTAGAAAAGGAAGATCAACTATGGTCCAACTTTTTTCTGCCAGGATAATTCTAGAAAATAGTCTGGAGTATGAGATGGTAACTCAAAACCTTTTTATTGACTTTAAAGTGCGGAAAGGAGAAAATTATATAAAGACATGGAAGATTTAAACATTCTGAGGAAATTAATACAGTTCATCAAGATGACAATGGAGAATTCCAAGTATGTAGTCCGTTTTGGAGTAGACATCTCGAAATCGTTTGGCGCCAATAGTGGAATTAGGCAGAAGGCCTAAGGCTTACCTGCCTCGTTTTCAATTTGGCAGTTGATAAAGTTGTAAGATCTTCAGGGATTCAAACTTCCAGGACAATATCCTCTAGCTTGGTTCATCTTCTAAGATAAGCAGATGACTTTGATCTCATTGCATCAGATCAGTGCGTGCTCTAAAGGAAGCATTTTTGGTGTTGGAGAAGGCTTCAAAGGAGCTGAGACTGGCAATTAATGAACAAAAACAAAATATATGTGTACTGGCGGTGAAGGGATCCAGGAACAATTCATAGAAATAGGATCCTATAAGTTTCGGCAGTTGGAATCGTTCACCTATCTAGGCACAAAACTTAGCTTAAAATACGTAATAATAATAAAACAAAAATACATCTGTACAAGACTCTGATACGCCGCCTTGACCTATGGCTGAGAAGCTTAGGCTACAACCAAGATAGACGAGAGAAAACTTCTTACATCTGAACGGATCCTTCCGAAAATCTTTGGACCTGTAAAGGAGGGAATGTCTGGTACAGTAGAAAAATAGAGAACTTCAGGAGCTGTACAACGAGGTTGATGTGGTGAAGTTCATAAAGATTGGAATGTTCCTGAACTGACCATGTTCCTCGATATGGATGATTCCGAGATTCCCAAGCTGCTAATGTTGGAGAAATATAGAAGAGTGGGAAGGCCTCGGACAAGGTGGCTGGACAGCTGCATCCCAGGGCCGTGCCAACAAGCGGAGGCTTTAAAAGGCGGCTCGAATCCCGTGATGGGTTGTCGCGCCAGTGTGATGTCAACAGAAAATGAATTTCATGAATAAATAACGAATCCCGATTCGGGACGCAGAGTTTGATGCTCTTTTACTTTGATTTAATGAGCTTTTCTCTTAGAGAACTCATTTCCAAGCTGCAGAGCCATTTATAATAATTTGTATCAATTTTTGACAAAGTTCCTTAAAATCGTCGTTCGTGGTTTTTAACATAACACTTAACCAAATTATTAACTTTAGGTACTCGTTCGACGATCAATTTAACGTTCTTTATTTTCTTAAAGAGTGCGTTTTCCGATTCGACGCATCGTTAAGGTGATACAGGTAAAAAACTTTAGCTTTCTTCCAGCATATGAAACATCTATATTACAACTCTATAATTCCGTAAAATTGAATTCAGCCTGAAAAACTGTTTCTCTTATTTTTGTTCTTCAATTAAAAATCAAATTAATATTAATCCATTTTTTAATAACAGATCTTTACTAATAAACAATATTTAAGATACTTTAGATAAAAAAAATTTAAATTCGTATTTAAGTCCTGAGATACTATTTCAATGAGGTAAATAACTACATGATATTGAAGAACAATACATTTTGTATAGATACGAAAAGTTAAATCGGAATGCTTGGAGCTTTTTTTTAGAAATTTGTTAAAATGTGTAAAATCAATTATATAATGTACCATTTCCTGTCGATTTTGACGAAAAAGTTACTGCAACATTTCACTTGAATCATCTATCATAAATATGTATTTTAGTTGTGTAAGACTTTTCAGGGTAGTTGGCTATTTGTAGTCTGGGGACTCAACTTGAAACATGTATATCCGTGAAAACTTTAATTCCAAATTCTTTGCCATCACTATACATTCTCTTAATTATGTATTTCATATAGAAAGTGAAAGTAAAGTTAGAAGTAACAAAACTATTATAGATACAACGGTTCTTTACCGATGCAATAAGTTGCTGTTTGCATCACTTGCGGATCCAGGATTTAATTTTGGGCTTCAGCCCGGAAGCTTTTTTTTTCATATATATAACGATAATTACGTTGGAAAAACAGAAAGATACTAACTACCTATATGAAACGGTGTTCAAGTGATTCTTGAAGCCCTAATAAATGTAATTAAACGAGCAATAATACTTTAAGACATAATTTTTTTATATTTTTTACCATAAAACATGGTTACATTTTACCGTTTTGGGGGGAGAGCCTTCAGCCTGAAAGCCCCCTCCCCGTAAATCCGCCTGTGGTTTGCATTAAAAGATGGTCACTTAAGGTTTTTGAAAATAAATTATTGCAAAAAATATTTGGAAGGAAGAGTCAAATGGAGAATTTGAACGGCTAAACAATTTTGAATTGTGTAGTGTACCCTGTAAACTTAAAATGTAAGATTATTGGTTTTAGTTTCAAGGTTAATAAGCACAGTGCTGGCTGGTGAGACAAATCTATAGCATTACAGATCTTGTAGATCTTTTGTCGCTTTCTGCATTTCTATCAATTTGATCTATACATCTACCTCTTGGTCTTTTACCTACTATTGAGGCATTCATTGTTGTGTAGAGGATTCCAGATGGATTGCTCAGTTACACACACTACCCATCATAATCTACTTGCATTCATATCACGAGATATTAGTCTCAGCAAGCAGCTCTTTATTGGTCTTTCTCCTCCATGTGTAAGTACTCTGATCCCAGATCCCTCTGGTTATCATGCAGAGGATTTTCTCCAATACTAGGGTGCTATTTAGTGTCCAAATCTCACAGCCGTACTGGCTTTATCATAGCATTGTAAACCCTTAATTTTAGATTTCAATACATCTGAAAAAAAGAAAGCTCTTTATGTACACTGATCTACTTCCAACCCTTGGTCATTTATTGAGGAGTAATTATTTGATTTGTCTACTCTCAGAATGATCTCCCTCCTATGCAATTCCTGGATTGAATTTTCAGCTCATCATCATACATTTTGTCTTATCTTCATTTACTAGTCAACCAATTTGCTCTGATTCTCATACCAAAGTCAATGCAAGTTTCTCAATGTCTTCTTGATTGTTTCCAAGGACAACTACATCAAGGATTTTATGATTCAATCCGACTGGTACATCTCTATTTTCATGTAATTTTCTCTCCCTTGATCTGCCTGTCATAAGTCAGTTTGAACTTTATAGGCTTCTGATACTTCGCCTGGTATTAGGACTAGACATTTATTATTATTTGTGTACACTTTTGTCAATCTCACCAACTGCCCGGGAACTCTCAGCCAGTCATGAATATCGAGAATGGACATCCTGAGCTACTTCCCATAGCAGTTAGAGTACTTGTTTTAATATGAATATTTGGTCAAGCATCCTCCTTCCTCTTCTGTATTAAGCTTGGTGGTCGCCTAATATATTTTCATAATACAGGTATATCTGGTTTAGTAGGATAATGGTCATTGTCTTGTAGGCAACCAGAAGGAATGCTATGCCTAGCATATAGAATAGTAGTCAGACATAGAGCCTTCCTTTAGGAAAGGGCAGATTAGGCCTGTATTCCAAGCCTCTGGTATCCTTTCCTCCTCCCCTATGTTCAGGATTAGTTGTAGTAACTTAACTCTTAAGTCTTCTCTCTCATCTTTAAACATTACTGATGGTAGGTTATAAATCCCTGGGGCTTATCTTATTTTAAGTCTTTCTGCAACTATTTCCACATCGAGTTTATGTGGTTTTTCAACCTCTTCTGCACTGAGGTCCTCAGTGTGGTCTATATCTTCTTTGTTCGAGAGATCCTCTTGATTGTGAAGCTGCCGGAAATATTTGTTCCATATGTTTAAAATCTTTTCTTTAGATGACATCAGAATGCCATCATTTCCTTGCATTTGGATATTTAAAAATAACCATACATTTAATCAAATTTCATACACTACTTATAGCTAAGTTACAAGTTAAAAGTGAACATACATTAAAAAAAAAAAAGTAGGAAGCTGAAAGAAATATTAATGAATTTGTTAACAAGATTTATTAAACCTTAGTCCGTAAAATGTGTGTAGCAGCACTAATGATTTGTTGCTACACCTTTGGCTTCATTAAAAATAATAAAACTTAAATCATCCAGCTTAAAGCATACTTAATAGATGAATTACACCAAAAAATCTAACCACTGATTAATTACTAACGAATATCATCGATACAATCAACAAATCATTAGATTTTTATATTTATAAGACAGTGATACAAAAATAGAACAATACAAATAAATACAAATTCAACAATAATAACATACATCACTCCCATTAAAATATTACTAATAAAAAAATATAATTACATTAACTTCATTATGAACAGTCAATTATGCTAAAAGGAGTTTTCAACTGTACAATACTTGAAATGTGGCACTGTAAATCAATGCTTTTAACACATTCACAGTCTCATTTCAAAAGAAAAAAGTGAAAATTATTAAGTATGTAACAAGCTATTCACAGGTGTTTAACATAATCCATGGGTGCTTTATCACATCTTCAAGTGGTAACCGCCTTGATGGCTCAAGTACAAGAAGCTGAAACAAAAAATATTTCACACTATTAATTCTAAATGCTTACAATTTGAAATTGGAAAGAATAAAAACAGGATAAGGGAAATAAAAATCAGGATTTTTTATTCTGTCTGATCATTCGCGAATTGCTAACTTAGATTTTGGAAAATATGGATTTATAAAATAGAGAAAGGATGAAGTCTCACACCACAAGGATTCATCTCATTTATTTGATCAACACTAATGGTCTAGGAAAATTAGGAGAAAATTTTGGTGCACCTCAGTTTTGCTTGGAACCTTGTTTTTTTTTTAAAATCACTATGAAAAATGAAAATTGTCAATATCAATGTCTGTGAAATTTTTCTCCATGCAACAATAAACTTCTGTCTTTATTGTGCTTTAAAAGATGGCGAATGCTCAAAAGTGACAAGAGTCTAGGGAGAAAAATATTTTTGAGGAGCAATCATCGGGTCCGGTCGGTTTATACTGCCAACGCTCGGCCTCCCCTCTCCCTTCTCAGCTTATTCAACTGTTTCCACCCTCAAGTTGAAGTGGAGAATAGGTTTGAAAACATATGGGAATCCAATTCAATGGAAATGGAATGGATTTTATGCAAAATGAAGGAATAGATTTAGACAACTATTTTTCTCCACAATATGATTTCTCATGGTTCTTAGTAAATATTAATCAACAAGTAGGCATTGAAATTTTTTTTTAACTTTTTCTTAGTTCCAGTCCAGTTCTTTAATAAATAAATATCTTATGTCAGAATTTTGTGTATAATATATTGTTGGAAAGCTGAGAGTTTTAGAATGAAATCTTAAAGAAAGAGATCAACTCATATTTTTGAAAAACAATAGGCAAACAAAACATACATTTGTATAATGCTTTTCAACTTCTTTAATATATAAATATGTTATTAATGAATTTATATGTATAATACATCGTTAGAAAGCTAAAGATTTCAGAGAAATAATATCTGGCATATGAAGTCATAGAGGCTACGGAAGGTGATGAAAAAAATTGTACTTCATAATTTCTGAAAACCAGTATTATTCAACGGAAATAAATTAAATCAAATTTGCTAACTAAATGTAAAGTTTTAAAATTATTTTTAAGTTTAAAAGAAAAGTATATAATCCATAAAATTAGAGTAATGACATTGTTAAAAAAAATAATTTATTGTACTTACGCGAAAAAGAACTGAATAATAATAATAATAAAGTGTACGTGAATAGAATGAGGAGATATACTGTGGCAGCTGAAAGAAGGAAGCAGAATACAGCTTTTGTTACTCCGGAGAAACTTTTCTACAGACAATTATCGGCTAAAAAACCAAAGACAAATAATAGTTTTCCAGAAAGTGAGCCTCTAATTGATCACTAGAAAGCTATATAGGGCACTGTTAAGTAATTTAATGAAGATGCATATTGCATAGATGCAGAGAGAGAGAATGCCAAAGGATGTAAAGAATTGCTTATCATTGACAGCTTCATATCTTCATAAGTAAAAAACAAGAAACATAACATCTCTGTTTCACGGATTGACTACCAGAAGGCCGCTGGCTCCTGGAAAAGCGAAAATGACTTGTACAAGTATCTTGGTATTTATCAGCTTTTAGAATTTAAGAAAAACATTAAAAGTATTTCGAGGATAAATTCAAGAGTTGTGTAAAGATCATCCTCAAATCATATCTTAGGAAAAATACTATAAAGTTTTAAATACATGGGCGATTTCAGTTTTGTCTTATTCCTTTGGCATTTTAAAATGGACCAATACAGATCTGGATACTATAGATTCTTATCTAAGAGTGCAAATGAGGAACTCCTGGAAACGTCATCCGAAATCGTCCGTTGTAAGAATGAATCTGTCGAGAAAAGAGGGAGGGGAGGACGAGGGCTTTCAAGTTTATTAAAAACATGATGCGAGGAAGAAATAAAACTCCGTAACTATTTTAGAGCCAATAGCTCATCTGGGGTCATCTCAGCTATTGCAACGCTGGATTCTGGTTATACAGCTTTGAATCTTTGAAGTGAAAATTTTCATCCACCTATAAATCAAGAAGTTCTGCTTGACACGTGGAAGTCCAAAGTGCTACATGGAAGATTTTACCATAGTTTATCGACAGCAGGATTAGATAAGGATGCGTCTCTGATGTGGCTACGCAGAGGTACACTGTTTCCTGAAACGGAAGGATTCATTATAGCCATACAGGATAAGGTCATTGTTACAAAGGCCTATAGGCACCGTATTTGCGGAGAAGCTGTAGCTGAATTGTGTCGACAGTGTAAAACAGCAACAGAATCGATTCAGCACATCACATCAGGAATTTGGAATTTTAGACGACACTTGCCCTTATTACAGATAAAGACCATAATTGGTCATTGATAAACGGCACGTCAAGCTATACTGGGACCAAACCATTATAACAGACTACACTATTCCACACAACAGGCCTGATATTTTGTTCGTTTTGAAGGATGAGAACCATGCAAAGATTGTAGAAATAGGAGTGCCATCAGAAAAATAAAAAAAGATGATAACCTTCACAAGGTGGTTGCAGAAAAAAATTCGCAAATATCAAGACCTTGGTGAGGAGCTCAAGCAATTATATAAACTTGATAAAGTGAGGGTTTTGCCGCTGGTCATCTCGGCAAATGGTCTGATTCCAGACATACCAGTGGGCTCCATGAAGGAATTAGGCCTTTCGATGAATTGTTTGGAGCTGATGCAGAAAGCGGTGTTGCTCGGAACAGCTAGTATTGTTCGTAAATTTATGAATGTAAAAGATTAATTTGTTTAGCCTACCCTTGACTTAAGTCCGGGTAATGTGCTGTAACCAGCAAATGCTGTGAAACAAGGGATTTCCCTAAATAATAAAGTATAAACTTAATAAAGTAACCATTAGGGGCATTGTGATCTCCAGCAATGTCCTGATACCAGTGTCTATTGTGGAAGCTACTGGGACTCCTAACTCATGTAATAAATGAAGTTCAGAAAGCAGTGCTGTTGAATACTGCCAGAATTGTAAGAAGTTTTCTCAACATACAATAGAAATTAAAATAGAACATAACTGAGGTGTTTGTAGTTGATTCTCTCCCTCTCAAGTAAACAAAAAACCTTTTGTAAAAGTGTTGACAAATAAAATAATAATAAGGCTTGGCTTAGTAAACCTGAAGGTTCGATGCCGATACCACCAATCAATCTCCACATTCTTCCATCCACTGGGCTCCGTCTAAACCCAACCCTGCCAAATCAGCCTTAACACAATCTTACACTTTAGTCTATCCCTGGGACGCTTACCAGTCGGTACAGCGCATATTAACTTTTTAGGGATTCTTATTATATATTTGTTACTAAGCCCAGCGATTTTACATCCCTATTTTATTCGCCTCAACTTAATCATTTCAATTATATTAGCCGGATACAGCTCACACAATTCAGCGTTGTCTAACTGCCTAAATTACCCAGTTGATTCATCCTTTTTCGATCCGAATATTCTGTGCAATACTTTATTTTTGAAAAACTTAAAACTTTGCTCATCCCTTAATGTAAGCGGCTACGTTTCGGGACAGGAGGCTAGAACTAAGTAGTTTTGACAAACCATTTTCCGCCTTCATCCAAACCTTAATATCCTCTTCAATTTCGTTTTTTTTTCTACTTATCGTAGACTCTAGGTTCGTAGCTAACCTACAAACCTAGCTATATTTTGTCTTATCCATATTTATCTCCAAAGAGCCCTAGTTCTTTACCAGCTTTCATTAATATTGTCGTATTTGGTTTTATAGTTTCTGTGCCTTCGCTTAACAGGACCAGATCATTCGCATAGCCAAGTAGAGGTGTTGTCCCACCCAGATCCAACCCTTTTTTGGTAAGCATTATCCTCCCTAATTGCATGTTCTAATAACAAATTAAAAAAGACAGGTGAAACAGATGATGGCTCAATCTAATTCTCCACAAAAAAAAGTGGAAAACACGCCAAAAGAAGTTTTCACTTAGAAAAATAAAATAAACAAAATTAAATGTTCAAATGATATTAATTCCTTTTGAAGAGATTTCATAAGTCATTTAAATTATGGTACGTATATTTTATTCTTTATGAGTTATGTGCACATGAAGTTTTATTTTTTTTGTAACATTTGTTCTTGACTTTTCTAGGGAACTTATCTTTCAGTAGTGAAGGAGAAGATTATCTTCAAAATAAACATTTATTGGATTTCATGAGGTATTATCAGAAAAAACAAACAAAATACCTTTGAGAAATAATAAAGTAAAATAGAATTAAAATTTACCTTTTTAATCAAATCACATGCCAAAGCAGACATGAATGAAGGAAATCGATAAATAGCATGTGTGATATTATAATAAGTTTCTTCATAAGTTTTAGCTTCAAATGGAGGTTTTCCTGTTATAAGTTCAAAACAAAGCACTCCTGTACTCCATAAATCTACAGTGTAATCATGATTGGTATTTTTTACCATTTCTGGTGGTAAATAGTCCAATGTTCCGCAAATAGTTGCTCTCCTAAATAATCAAAAAAATACACTTGTTAATGAAAAAGAATTAATAATAGCACATTATGTTGGAAGAAAAACAAAGTAAAGATTTTACCTTGAGTTAGGTGAATGCACAGACCAACCGAAATCAGCAATTTTGAGCTGTCCATTGTAACTTAAAAGAAGATTTTCTGGCTTAATATCTCGATGAATAACACCCTTAGAATGACAGTATATCAAAGCATCAGCAAGTTGCTTAATGATTTCAGCACTCCTAAAAATAGTAAAAACAAATAAATTTTGAATATATGGAAAAGAAAAAGAAAACTTAAAAGAAAAAAAAAAATTTAAAGAAAAAAAAAACTTGAAAGAAAAAAAAAAAAAAAACTTGAATTCCGAACCAAAAGAACAAGTCACCCTTTTCTCAGAGAAATCATATTAATGTTTTTAAACTCAAATGGAAAAAGTTTAGAGATCAATTTTAGGGCATTTTATTGGTTAACTCAGGGTCGTAGCATGGGTTCTAGGCATCCAGGCGAAATTTTCCCTGTTGCCCTTCCAAACCGACTGATAGTCCATTACCCCACATTTAAATAGAGAAAGATAAGTGAATAATTTCAAATCTCAACCCAACATTCTGTAATTTTAACCATGAAAAACTGATATTACAATAACTAAAAAAAAAATAAAGTTTGTACTTTGCTTCAATCTCCACTCGAACACTTATCGATTGGCACAGTGCACATTAACCTTTTAGGGATTAGTTTATCGAATAACCACTAAGCAATATCAATTATATTAATCCAGTAATAATCATGCAATTTGGCATTGCGTAGCAGTCTCGTTATTTTTTAGTCAATATTCTGTGTAATACTTTATTTTCAAAAGACCTAAGATCTCCCCTCCCTCCACATCACTAGTGTTCCTTGTAACTATGTATTAAAAAAAGCCAATGTTCACACAAAAAAGTGGTCTCACAGTTGCAAAATGGCGAATTGACTACTTTGACTTGAGTTAGTTTTTTGGCCACTAAGATTCAGCAGTTGGCTTAATTTTGTTGTAATTGGTCTTTTATTGAAGCTAGATAGTCAAAGAATAATAAACATAAAACTTTTTAAAAAAAATAATGAGCCTTGGAAATAATAAATACTTAGTAGTCAAGTTTAAACTAAAGTTGAAAATCAACCGTTTGTAATTAAACGGCCAATAATAACTAAAAATGTCTGGAAATAAAACATATAGAGAATAGATTTCTCTTTCTAAATCACTGATTAATTTTTAATATATTTGAAACAGTTCTTTAGAAAATGCACTTAATCAGCAGAAAAGTGGCACTGGCGGAGGTGCCTAAAGTACTCTGCCACCTTATTCAGTTCTTATAAATGGCGAGAAGAAATTGATTATAATGATATTTTTATTGCCAAGGCCAATTATTTTTTAATACAATTTAAAAAAGAAAGCTATATGGAATATTTAACATAGAGGATGTAGAGGCTTAGTCTCTTTTTATGTAATTATGATCAACTAGTAGGCCCGTGGGAAAAATTAGCACAGCATATAGTTATCAAATGCCAAATTAATAATAAAATAAAATAATGCAACGTATCAAAAGATTAAGACATCAAATGTACCTTCATCGATAAATATAATCCACAAAGAAAACAAAAATTAATTTAAATCTTCATTTTTGTTTGGAACCAACATGTTTACAAATTTCAGTAAGCTGTATCTTTATTAAAAATTGTCCGATTTCAATGATTTTTTTTTCCATTTTGTAGGGAATTTAGATATCTTTTATATAATCATGGTCATAACCAAGGGAAAAGTGTGTAATTTTTCAGTTATTCGCAAATAAAGTTTGTTTTCTTTCATAACTTGTTTGCCTGAATTTTCGGGGTGATGGGTGATTGGACTATTTTCCTCACCTGAAGGAGAAGGAAGCCTTCGAAATCGGTGGCTCAATCTTGAGATTTGGTAAAAAATTAACGATGATCAAACGCTAGCTGATCAAAAACATCATCGATAAATAATATAAACTCCTCCTCTCTCGATCACAGAGACCTCAAGTCGACGAAATGAGACATGTATTCAACGACAGTAGTACAATTAATGTAAGGTTGTGTGGATGCGAACCCTATGCCTTGCGTTATCTCGAAAATGGTACGTTTTGGGACTTAAAAACGCAGGATCCGATAGTTCCGGAGGAACTATCTGGGTCTTGCTGTACGCATCAAAATCTTCAAGATCCAATTTGTCCCGTATCGATCTACAGACCTACCACCGTTCCAGTATCAAAGCCTAGCAAAAGGTTTGTATCGACTTTATTTATTTTAGAAAGAAAAACAAAAGTGGAGAATACGATTCGCTAACCCCCGTGAAATTATGAATCTAACGGTACCCCCCCATTTATGGTATTTGAGCATGACAGGAGCTTATATTTGGTACAAAACCGATTTCGAGCCTTACTGTAATAATATATGTGGGGATAAGTTTAAGAGTAGTTGAAAAATGATGCAATCCATAGTGCTCCAATTAACAGAGTTAAGATACAAACTCTCTCTTTCTGTGGCATTATAACGAATGCCAGGTACTCATTGTAAATGTATATCAGGTACTCATTTCCATGGCCCCTCTAAATTAAAGTATGGTGTTAGAAATTCGTAAATTGAATTGATGTGAGAAAAGTTCCTTCTAAACTCTTAACTTTTTCTTCCACTCCTCCCCCCTCTACATCCCGACATTTCTATAAATTCAATTCGAAACTAAATAATAAAATGTTCAAAAACAAAACATAAAAAAGATATTCAGCAGCATAAATGATTTAAAAATTATATTTAAATCTCCAAGAAAGTATTTAGGCACCTATTTTCATAACAAAAATAAAGGAAAATGTGACCTGACTGATGCTGACACGTTGTGCACTTCTATTTATTTTTAAAATGTTTTAATCAGTTATCTAACATTTTGCCTAAGATGTTAAATAGTTTATAAATTGTTCTATATAATCAACAAGAAATATAAGTAAATTATTCAAAATAAGAATAGTTAAAACTGCTTTTTCACAAGGGAAGCCTTGCATTCATGACTGAGGTTGAAACATCTTATGTGCTCCGAATCGTAAGGTTTTACTTGCGTATCACCTTAAAAAAAAACCGACTATAGAAATTGGGAAATTTTATCCATCCTAAGCTCAAGGGATTCAAGGTATGAGGAGAGGTTGAGGGTGATGTGAGGTTCGATGATAGTCCAGTTTTTCTGAACAATGTTGGTAAATGTTGCAACCCAATGTCTATTGGGATGTTGGTAAATAAGCTTTCGGCATCTAGAGAAACAAGTATAAAGTTGTCAGGAATATAGAGAGAAGATAACTCTTCTTTAAGGTGGAATGAATTATTAATGTCATAAGGATTATTGTGGCTAAGTTTTTGGAGAGAGGGTAAAAGGAATTTTCTGAGTTTAGCTGATGGGACGTTTATATTGGAGATGATAAGGCGGAAGGCACCCATATCACCAAAAAATCAATACTGCCAAAAACCTTATTCACCGATCTCTCTCTTTATCTGATCCACAATATCACCAAGCCAACACTCAGCGTGTCCAAAATATACTCCTTTCCAATAATTTCCTTCTCAACACTATACATAAACTTTTCAACTGCTACACATCCAAAAAGAGTACAACCTCCACATCTCTCAACTCCCCACAATCATCTACCACTCCTTTCATATACAAATCTCCCTCCTATATTCCTATTCTCCCAGATAATATAAAAAAAATCCTTATATCGACTATAACCAACTTATGTCTTGGCCTTAAGTCCCATAATAAACTCTCTTTCCTTTTCACCAACTTGATGGATCCCATACTTTTACAACACCGATCTAATGTAGTTTACCGGATACCTTGCTCTACTCCTAATTGTAATAGCTCCTATACTGATGAAACCAAAAACCATCTCAAAACTCACATTTCCCAACATAAAACATCCATAACTTCCTGCTCCAAACTATCAGAACATGCCTTAACCCTCAACCATTCATTTGATTTTGAAAAAACCTCTATTCTTGCCACGGTCCCAAACCATGAAAAAAGACTCATTTCCGAATCCATCCACATTCACATGGAACAGAATCCTGTTAATCATAAAGTAGATAAAAACTGCATTTCTTAAACATATAGACACATTTTAAATCTTATAAGTGAAAAATAACTTATACATTACATCGAATTATTTTTATCTACTTTCAATTTTTATTGATTGATTCAATTTAATTGTTCATTATTCCAAGTATTTCCGCTTTGTATGATCTTTTTTATTTTATATTCACATTCTACACCAATGTATGATCATCCATTTTCACTTAGTATTCATTTTACTTTTTAACCATATCTCAATATTATTTAATATTTAAATTTAACTTTCTTACATATGTACAACTAAAGATAATTATTCATATTTTTTTCCTCTTTATACTTCTAAATTAGCTCTGCAATGTATGGTTAGTCTCTTATTTCTATATTTATATTTTACTTCTTCCATTTTTGTTTTTATTCACATTTTACTCTTATGTATAATCTCTTAATTCTATTTTATATGTATATATTTATAATTTATTATTTTATAGATGTAGTATTTTTTCCCCCCTGTATCCATCCATATCTTCAAATTTTGGATACTGCAATATTCTAGGTTTTTTCGCATTGACCCAAACAGGTCAGCTAATTCCCCAATACCTACCATTACCCTGATTTTCCAGTGCTAAGTGAAACTCCTAGCTGAACACACCTGTAAGTCTCTATTTTTATTCTTCTAATTTTATTTACTTATTTTTTGGTTTTCTTTTCTTTTTCCACATTCCTTTATGTCTATTATTTCATGTTATATCCTTTTTCCTTTTCTTTCAATCTCTCCTCTAGATCTGTAGAAGTATATTTATATTTGCATATATTATATATTATACTACAATTGTTAGCATCTATTTATTTCAGTTTAGGATCTTGTTACTTAGCTTACATTTTAATGTACTTACTGTTTATAATTTTAATACGCTTATTCACATTGTTTATAATTTTTTGTCTAAATATTATGTAACTTCCACAATTCTCTATATCTTTTTGTATCTTGTCCGTTCTAGCCCTGAAGAAGACCTGCAAAGTCAGGTTGAAACGTCGGCTTTTAATAAAATAGTTTTGTCACTATTTAGCCTATTTATGACCGCCACACCGGACCATCTCCTTCCTTTTGTTAATAATAATCAATTTGAGGATTCTGTGTTCATTAAATTAGTAGCGGTTAATGAAAACAAGACCTAGGAGATGACGAATGTCCATCAAGACAATAGTTTTGTTTTTAATTTTAACTGTCATCTGACAAGCAGGAGAGGAATGTAATAAATCACTTGATAATTAGTTTTTATTTAATTTCTATGTTTCAATTTATTTAATAGAGATTTATTTGTAAATTTTGCTTTTTATTGAAGTTAATTTTTATATCCTTAATTTTTTCATGATTATATCATATTTAGCCTGATGAAGGAGATAAACTGGTAGCAAGATAAAATAAAGAAATATATAGGAGGATGTCTTTTAATTGAATTTTATACTTAGCTTACTACATCTGTTCTTAAGAAAAGTTCTTCCCATTGTCAGGAACATATAATACTATTAACAGTTGACCTTTTTTATTTTATAGGATAAAGGAGTAAATAAACAAAAATTAAAAAAATCCCACCCCCCCTTTTTTTTAATTCCTGCACATTTCCCAATTTGAGAAATTCCCGGTTTTCCAGATCGCTGGACACCCTGGCATATTTCATAGTAAATAAAGTAATATTCCAAGCCATGGGGTGTAATTCGAATAAAAAAGCTTGCATCGAAGCTTGAACATCAATCTTAACTCACACCCAGTGAGATCCCAAGAGCAACCATCCATGAATCTAACAAAATTATTATCATGGTCTTATTTCTCTGGTTTATCATTGGATCAGGTTTTGTATGACTGAGACTATTATCACCAAACATAAAATGTATTGTTAATACCTAGAGTTTTACATATTATCATTATAAGTTAGAAATTAGAATATATGAAGGATTAGGGGGATTTTTGTTCTGGGTTATTGATATCAACAGATTCAAATTGAAAAGTTCTTTCAGAGAGTTAAAATTTGAAAAAACAAAATAAACTATGGTTATTGAATTTACTTTTTCATATCCCAACTACAACTTTCAATTGTAAATATACTGAAACATTGAGTTGTCTGGATTTTTCTCCTTATCTTTTCTCATGATTTTTAAAGCCTTTCTTTTTATAATTGCAAATAAATAAATCAAAATAAATTTACACATGGAAAACTAACCTCTTTTCTGAGAACCTTTTTTCAGGTTGTTCCTGAAGATGCTTATATAATTCACCCATTTTTGCATACTCCAAAATAATGTAAACTCTACTGCTGTCATGAAAGTAACCATATAATCGTAATACATTTGGATGCCTTAAAAAAAAAAAAAAAAAAAAGATTAAAACTTCATAGAAAGAACAAATTCAACAAACAGGAGGAAATGAAATAGAATATAAATAATAATTTTTCAAAACTGTTTTCATATTATTAAGAAAACAAATACTTGTTTTTGTTATTTTACTAAAATAACATTAAGAACAAGAAAATTGAAGAAAAAAGAGCATAGTATGATGATAATTCACTTTTTATTTATTTTTTCATAGCGTTTGATATATTATCATAAATATAATTGTATAAATAGATACACTGTTTATATATATATATATATATATATAAAACAAATATGTTAAAAATTAATTTTCAAAGATATATCATCTAAAGTGATAACAAAACTGTATTTCATCCTCTTAACTCTATTACTTATACATTTTCATGAAAATAATTTGCAGATTTATTAATCCAGCTTTTAGAATTGTTAATTTAATTAATAATAAGCTATTATCTTATATTTGCACTGGCGCTCAATTAGTAATGAAAGGCGTTTTTGGATGCAATATTGAAATATTTGGAAATACAAGGAAGAAAAGGCAACCTCCCCTTCATAATGTAGAGCTTCTTTTCTGAAGAAATGACAATAACAAAAGTCGTAATTTTATTAGAAGAATAACCAGCAAATGAAAATCACATTGCCACAAGGCATAGATGACATCAGTACCTATTTAAAGTAATAGCTAGCTAATTATTGTAAATAAACATTTCTAAAAAATAATTAAATAATAATAAAATAAGAAAAATAATCCTATTAATGGCTTTAATTGTTTCATTAAAACATAAATATTAAGATTAGGAACATTTAGTTGGTCACTTATAGATATGATTTTTTTTAAACATTGAACAAAAAATGTGGCACTTTTCTGCTGAAAATCAGACCAATGTTTATATGAACTTTTTTGTAGATTTTGAGGTCTACTACTCTATTTTTAAATATTTTCCTCTAATTACGGAACCGTGTATAAGATGTGGCTGAATGTGACCCCTGGTCAAAGTAGCAGTTTGCTAATGAGTTGAGGGAATTGAACGATTTGGTTGATTTTCAATAAAATTGGCTTATTTCATGAACTGTCAAAGACATCTAGAGATAGTACCGAATTTCAACCATTCCTGAAGCAGTTTAACAATTAGCAGTGGGAGAGTTCAAGGTGATGTTAGATTAAGGTAGAGTTTTGATGAAAACAATCATATTGTGATTGTTTCCCATATTTTTTTTACTGTCAGTTAAAATTAAATGAAACATTAAAAATTAAAAAAAAAAAACAATAGCCAACAATTTTTTTTTTTTTTTTTTTTACAAAATTCAAGTAAATTCAGTATTAATTATATTATATATTATATTACAATATACACTATTGTAAGATGCACAAAAATAGATCCCAAGATAAAACACAAAACACCAAATGCCTCATTACCTAAATTGGACCACTTCACAGATTGGTAGATGCACTAGAACAACAAATTATATACTGATATAGCGCAACAGGCGCTCACTAAGATGCCAGTTCTCACACTACTCTTCAGTTTACCATTTTGCAACCAACCGGATTGCCTGATTTTTGTTGTTTGGCATTCAACATAAAAATCCAACTTTAAATAAATTTAGCTGTATTTATAATTAAATAAATAAATCACGATTATGTGTTTACATGTCTTATTGTATATCCTTACATTTAAGAGCCCCGTAAGTCCAAAAAATGTATTTCTGGCAATTGATACAAGCTCTCAAACAGATGGACCAATACGTATTTTGTAGGATTTCGGCCCCTCTCCCCTCCCAATGCCTGAATACAAAATTGGGAACAAAAAAAACAAAGAATTTTTCTATAAAATGTAGTTATGGCCCCTCCTCTCCCCTCCCAATGCCTGAATACAAAATTGGGAAGGCTAAGTAAATTAGAACAAAAAAACAAAGAATTTTTCTATAAAATGTAGTGTTAAGACAGCATCTAAAACTATGAGCAGACACAACAGATTTTACAATACTAAGACTTCTAAAAATTTCTAATCTATGAGAAATTATTAACTACTTTAAAATATATACAATAGTTTTGGAAGATAAATAATAAACTTTCAAAATTTATATTTTAATAACAGCAATGATCTTTTAACAAAATATAACTTAGAAATACTTTAAAAGAAAAACCCTTACATACTTTGCTCTCTAAACGAAAATATTGTAGTAATAAAAAATAAAATAAAATAAACCTGCACATATTATATTAGTAATTTAAAATAATATATGAATTAAAAAAAATAAAAACTGACTACATAAATTGAAAAATTCTATCCACCTTAAGAGAATGGACTTCCATATCTAATTAAACATCTTGGAAGATTGATAGGGAAATTGACATCTACAAATATTCAAACTTGATATAATAGTCAGATGCCTGTCATTACACATTATAGCTCCTGGCCAATAGATTTCATCCCATGTATTGTTATGCACGTCAACATCCGAAAGTCATGAGTTTTGATCAAGAGTTATCACTCCTTCCTATCGGCACCTCACCACTATACCAAGTTTAAATATTCGTAGATGCCAATTTCTTAATCAATCTACCAAGATGTTTAAGTAGATATGGAAGTATCTATTCCTTTAGAGTAGATATAATTTCCGAATTTCTGTAGTTGGTTTTTTTTTTAAATTTATATATATATATTTATTTATATATTTAATAAGATTTGCCGTGCTTAAGATTTGTCTTCGGTACATCGAGGCGGTCTCATATGTCCCACCTTTACGACGAGTTAAAGTGGCTCTTCCCTTCTTTCCGCAGACAATATTTCCTTGGATCTCTCCTATTCCAAAAAATCAACACCAAACACCCTTCCTACATTTACAGTCTCCTACAGTTTAAACCCGTGGTCCACCGCCAGAAAACAAGATCCCGTGTTTCCGACCTTTATATCCCTTTCTATAGAACTAAGAAGTTTAAATATTCCTTTATTGCCCGATCCGCAGCCTTCCGGAATTCCTTGCCATCTGATATCCGCCATGACTCTTCATTGTCCTCATTTAAATATCATCATTACCAATTCCTTCTCACATCCCAAAATGACGTTATACAATAAAATAAATATTGCGAAACAGATTTTGACTGAGGTGAATGGTTGTTAAAATTGATTGAATTTTAATTTTAAAAATCAACCTATGCTTATTTTATTTTGTTTTCTTTTCATTTAAATAATGTTTTTTCTCAAATTGGTGTTATTTTTACTTGTTTTAATATAATTTCACTGAAGATACTGTATATATTCTTCAATATTGACTAATCTAATTTTTGGCCAGATGTAGTTTTTATTTTTTTTGTTCATATCTGTTATTCATAAGGGACCTCCTCCCAGAATAAAGTTTACTTTCTATCTATCTATCTATCTATATTTTTGCTTCCTTGCTACCGAAGGCAGGCAAGCATTGTATTCGTGCGAGAGGTTAAAAAAAATTATGTGTTCAGAATCGAAAATTTCCACTCGCGTTTTACATACAGACATCAAGGATCAAATTTGGTTCGGTGTCTGTCTGTAGTCAAATCGATGTAACGGGCTTATCACCTACTACCGTATATCTGATTTTCATGAAGTTTTTAGGAATTATGCGGGTTGGTGTCTAGATGGTTATATATCAATTTAATTAAATTCTAACCAGCATTTCCGCTTGCACAAACGAATTTTTGTAGATATGCCAATATTTCGGAAATGGCTTGTTCCGATTTGGCTCAAAATTGGATAAAAGGTAAGTATACAGGTATTTGTGAAAAAATAATGTGGGGTCAATTTTTATTCAATTCTGTCAGTTACTTTCTCTTATATATGTGCAAACGTGTTTCCTCGATAAGTCCATTTCTCTAAAACCGCAAGTTCGATTTGGCTCCAATTTGGAGGGAATTTAGGAATTGATAAACGTAAAATGAAATAGCCATCAATTTTATCTACTACTAAAAGAAAAATACTTCCGCTTTCAGATGAGGAAATGTATTATTTGATATACCTATAGTTTGAAAACAGCGCATTCGATTTGATGCAAACTTGGATGAAATTTGGAGAACAGTATAGAAATAACAATTTTGTTAATAGTAATTTCGTTGAATTCCATTTAATAATTAAAATTAATATAAATAATTTTTAACAATATAATGGCTGTGAAATGCTGAAGGCACTGATCATATGGAGCGGGAGTTAGGTTATTACAATACTGTTATGGGGTTATAAAATTTTAGGTTTTATTCAAAACATTATTATTTGGCCGATTCCAAACATTACCGGCATGAAACTGCCGTTGCTTAGATTGTGTGTAATTTTCAGTACATTTAAAGTCATTTTTACTCAGAGTTTGTAAAAAAAAGAAAGTCTTAATTGTGATTGTGTTTATTTCCATTGAAGTTCAACCAGTTCATCTTGATCTCGATTCCCTCCTTACATATTGAAGTTGTGTGAACTTCACCTATATTTTTATATTTTCTAGCTTAATGTATTTTGTTCTGACTGAAAAAAAAAGTATTGATCTCGTTTAACTCTGAAATGCATGATCAGTATGCATTAGTATTATTTTTTAAAAATTAAGAATAATCAAATATGTAATCTTCAAATACAGCAGTCTCTTGCATTTTAATATTATCTGATAAATGAAATTCGTGAATATCAAATCTGTGAATATTGAAGGGTAACTGTATTTCCGAATCGGCTTCTCCCAGATATTATATTCTCACACAAAAATTTTTACCATGAAATATAGATATATTTTAGCCAATGAAAAGGGTAAGGAAGCTATACTGACCTTACTTAGCAGACTTTTTTTTTTTTTAATATTAACAAGTTAATTTTCATAATATAATGATCACATGTTCTTATTTCAAATCAATTTATAATTGAGATACTTAAACTATAATAATTTTTTTATTCCAGTATTGTGAGAGCGAATTTTTCAAATCATTTACAGAATTTAATGAATAATTACAGCCGTCAAAGTTAAAAATCAATCATGCCATCAGTTCTAAAAATCATTCCATACCTTTTAGCAAATTTATCAAACACACTTCACACAGTAATTTGTCAGATTTTTGAGCTTTGAGAATTGATTTTGAATTTGAGCCATCAAACATATAAATCGATTCAGCCGTTCGTCGCTCAAAACAATGATAGAATGCTTTTTGCAAATTGGTTAAAAATATTTTATGCTAAGAGTTAAATCCTATTCGTGAGATTAAATAAAAAAAAAGATAAAAATTATAAATAATTAATAATAAATAAATAAATGCAGTCCCTACTTGATTACTTAGACCAATATGGCGCAGGTTCAATTCCCGAATGGGGACGGTAACGTTGTTTCAAAACACTCAGGGGATGTCACCAAATAATTTAAGCCATCAAACTTAAAACTGATCCAGATGTTTGCTCAAAAAACCGTTACATAACTTTTAGTGGAGGACGCAAACACATAACCCTAGTTTTACTTCACTTAGTTGGGCCAAAAAGATGAATATTGTTCATAAATAATTTGGCTTTTCTTCCTTGAATTTCCAAATATTTCAATATTGCATCTAAATACACCTTTCATTACTAATTGGGCATCAATTAAAATTTAAGATAATAGCTTATTATTAATTAAATTATCAGTTCTAAACACTAGATAAATAAATTTGCTAATTACTAATTTAATAAAACTGCTAAAAACTCCAAAATTAGAAAAAAAACAACAGTAATATGGAAATAAAATTACTCATAATACATAAATTCTGAAAATTTCAATGCAGTTGTACCTATCCCTCTCCCACAAGGACGATGCCGCATGGATCTATCACACAAAATCTTAGTTCACTTTCAAGTACATTTGTGGTCTATTGCATATTCCTGGTAGAAATGTGTCCCATCAATAATTTTGATACTAAGGATCATTTAATTGTCCACTATATAATCAAAAATTTAATCGATTAATTTAACTTGTTTAATCAAAATTGCTAGCGCCTTTTTCAAACAAAGTTTTAATTAAGTAAACTCAATGGGTCTTTCCAGTTTGTCGGATTTAGCAAAAAAATTAAAAACATTCCAGGTATAAAACCTTAAATAAGAAATTTTAGTTTCGTATGACTTGTGGTTTCAGAGCAAGGCTATTCATATACACCTTGGTTATTTGGATTAAGTGTTATGCTTACTCAAACGTTTTTCCTTAATACTCTCCCCAATTATATATTTAATACCTGGGTAAGAGGAATTAAAAAAAAAAAAAAAACTTGAATGACTAACCGGCACACAGTTGGGTAAGATCACAAGGCATAAAAAATATATAAATAAATAATGAAATTAAACTTTTTGAGTTCAAGAAGGCAGGACATCAATGCCAAGAAAGGAAAGGAGTAGAAATTCCATAAAAAATATAAATCTGTCACAAAAAGAAATTTACTATAACTTCAAGAACATTACCTCAGGTGTGCTTGGATTTCAATCTCACGTCTCAGTTGATGTTCTAATTTTGCTTGTGTAACCTGAGACTTAAAAATGACTTTTAAAGCTACAACATAATGGGACTTCTTTTCTCGGGCAAGATATACACACCCAAACTTTCCTTTACCTAAAGCTTTTCCGATTTCAAAGTTATCTAATGACCACTTTTTCTTAGATCTGTAAAGCAAATAATAAAATAAAGAACATTCATGAATAAACAAAATTTTACATAATAGAACTATAACATAAAAAACTTACTCATTGTCTTCTTTTTTATCTACTAGATTTTTTTCAACTAGGTTATCACATGTGACAGATGAAATAGAAAAATCACCATCACTTTTTTTTTGTTTCCATGTTTTGGGAGGACCAGGGGACAGTGGGGGTGGAGGGGCCATGACAGCATCAGAAGTTGGTTTTTTAATCTCTATTGAACTGACATCATAATGATGGCATACAGACTGTTCACAGCTTTCAATTTCTTCACTTTTTAAAGCATTGGTTTCCGGATCAGGAAGAGACTTTTCAATATCAGAAGGAATCTGGGCAGGTGTTGGATTATTAGAGATTGGAGCACAGCTAGGTTTCTCATCACATTGAACACTAATAGGTTTAATTAAAGTTTTAACTTGAGATTTATCAATTTTTGAGACATTACCAGAACGGACATCTTTTTGAGTATTAAAGGAAGGCCGTTTTAAAGTAGTAGCTGGTTTGGAAGTGGCAACTGTTTTTATTAATGTGGGTTGTACAGTCCTAGGTAAAATAGAAGCTTTAAAAGGTTCTTGCTTTGAAATTTCTGTCTTTTTATTAGATGTAGTAGATGGAAATTTCTTTCTTAATCCATTATCTACTGTGAATTTCTTAATCGCATTTAGTCTCATATTTTCTAATCTGGTCTTAATCTTGTCCTGATCAACATTACCACTAGTGACTGAGTTTTGAGAAAGTGGAGTCCTTTGTAAACTATTAGATCTCTTGATAAGAGGTTTTTCCCCTGAAATTTCAATTAAGCTCTTAATTAGGCTATATAATTTATTAAAGAAAAGAAATATAAATAAAATACCAGCTCTGGTGGACGATCTAGATCTGGAAACAGGTTTATCTAAACTATTTTTTTGAGGTAAAGCTTTTTCATTATCATGTTGAACACAACTGTGAATTGATACTTTTTTATTTTGTCCAGGAACGTAAAATTGGTTTTCTTTGCCTGACATCTAGAAAACATTTAAGTCAAGAAAATAAAAATAGGAGTGTCATACTAAAATTAGAGGAAGCACAACCAATACATCTAAATATGTTCGCTTACCACTGATTAGAGGTGTAATTGTATAATTGAGAGCCAGAACCGTAACCACTAAAAATAATAAGATCTAAACTCAATATATTAAACAATTTTAACCGGACTTGAGTGTGTAACGGTTTCGCTTGTTTAAACTTGATGGCGGTGTAGCAAACTATCGGTGTAGGCTCACGGAAAATTCTTGATAAAGAGGGAGAAAAGGTCGGTAAAAAATAATATTGCGCATATGTTGAAAAAAAATAAATAATTTTTTTAATATAATTTTATTTATTTTTCAGTCAAAGTTTGGGATTTGCATATTTTGGTATCTTGTGACAGACGATTCAGGCAGTTATGGAGAAAATGGTGGATGTGATATTCTAGTTATATTGTAGTTATTTGGGTGTCTTTAGTGTTTAGGATTTCGTTAATTATAAATAATTTAGGTAGATACCATTGTTAGTATTATGTAATTTTATATTTTTCATTGGGCATATTGGTACCCCTAAAAATTGTTGGTACAGAGTGAATCGGCTCTTCTATTTAACATTAGTCATACGTTCCTGATAAAATTAACTCTTTTGTAACAACGATTATAAATATTCTTCAGGTTCGTTTATTAAAAAGTGAAGTGGTTAGTTTTGTTACGTGGGTATATTTAATATTTCATAGTTCAATGTTCATGGGTTCATTTTTAATTGGGCTTTCGTAAATTGATTTAGTGCTTATTATTTCTATTACCATTTGTTATACTTCGGTTGTTGATTTGATTGATTTATTCAGTGACAATATCATGTCTTGATCTGCTACTCATGTTAGTAAGCTGCTCTAAGGGGGTTAAGAGTCTATTTTCTTTTGTTTTGTTTTTATCAGTGGATTTGTACCTTCCCTATAGCAAGTGAGAAGGTAAAAATTGTCACTACTCTCATTCTTGTGTTACTTATCTTCCCTTTTTTTAAAAGCATATTCAATATTGAATTGTTTTGCATTTTAAATCTGGAAAAGATTATTAATTTTGGTTTATAAGTGTTGACTAACTTAAACTTACATTTAGTTATAGTTTCATATTTAGCTGTACTTAAAATTCCTATTTACTAAACACACTCCAGTTATTTCATAACTTTGTTTAGGTGTATCAAAATGATAGACATCACTATTAAAACTTTAGATTCAAGAAATCATGTTTTTTCAGTTGAAGATGAAGTAAGTATAGACATTGATTACCTAAATGTTCAAAAATAGTTATCGCATAATACTTTTTATGATAGTTATTGCCAATAATGTTTTTCAAAACACTGAGTATAATTTAGCATTAAATTAATTTATTCATGTAAGTTATTCTAAAGGGAAATGTCTCTGAATCAGTTTTAAATAAATTTAATGGTAATTATTAAATGACAAACTTCATCATCAAAGTAGGTACTGTTTCATACCCAGGTGATAATATATTTTGCAAAATGAGGAACTAGGTATGTGGATTATAATAAACCATGAGATTCTGCTGCTATTTAAATTAATTAAAGAAAACAAAACCTGAAATTAATGTAATTAGAAGTTTAGTAAATTACATGATTTTGAATTTTTGCAATGAAAAATAATATTTGTGATCAGGATATTAATTTTACTTACCTAGTTTTTCACTAATTATGACATAATCATTCAGTATATAATATTTTATAACTTTGTAGGTGTGGTATAACTTAATATTTAAATATTTTAATTATTTTATGATATATTTAAAATTGTTATTTAATCAGGGGTCGTTGTTTACAAGAGTTCGGTACGAATTAGGAATCATTGACAATAATTTTGGTCTCTCTTGTTCATGAAACATCGACAATAGTCGAATGTTATGATGTCAGCTCTTGTCCCACAATCCTTTTTCCACCCCATTCTCCTATGACACATTTATGAAAAAAACATATTCTCTTCATAGAACTTCATTATTAACTATTTTCTAATTTCGGAGCGACCAAAAACATTTATTTCCATTTTCAATCCTTGCCTTTATTTCTTTCTTCATCTTGTTATTTTTGGTCACAATTGCACTGAGATTTTGAATTTCTTCACTCTTTCAAAGCAACACCATCTTCACGTTAGATATTCACTTCCTTAGCCTTACCTGGATGATATTTACTTGGTCTTACATTCATTCATAATAAGCCCTTCCACTTAGTTGCCTCTATACAGTCCTCTACTATTGTGTTGTTCTGGAAATAATGCAGGTTCCAGTCAATGCTATGTTTTAATACTATGGAGCGGAGTAGTAATAGTTTGTGTAAACAAAGGAAATGCTAAATATTCATTCTGTGTATTTCATAATTAACCTTATCTAATACTCTCTGTTTCACTAATGATTCAATCAGTAAAACCATTTTTTCAGTGCTCAGGTTTTGAATAAAAAATGTCCATGTGTGACTTTCATCAAATTTATTTTTATGAATTTAAATTAGGGTATAGTGCTGTGTAAACTGCTTGTAACATTAATGAAGTGTGGGGTCAGGGAACAATTAACAATTTGTACTGTGCAGTGGAGATTTTGACTTGGAAGTCAAGGAAAGTCGTGGCCATCTGCAGTTGACCTACTAAATTGCCATGACCCAAAAAATTGCGATAGAACTTAGTGTGGACCAATCCACCATCGTAGGCTACTTGGAAGCAATTGTAAAAGCAAAAAAGTTGGCCTAGTGGGTGTCGCACCAATTGAATGAACACCAAAAATATTGCTGCTTCAAAATTTGTTTCATGCTTTTTGCATGTAATGAAAACGATCAATTTCGTGATTGCATAGTGATTTGTGATGAAAAATGGATCTTATTCTACAATAGAAGGCGTTATCGTCAATTTCTGGACAAAGATGATCAACCTAGACATTTCCTAAAGCCCAACCTATACCCGAAATAAGTAATAGTCATGATTCGATAGTCTACTGCCTGTGTTATTCACTATAGCTTTCTTAATTGGGGATAGACTATCAGTGCAACCAAGTACTTTCAAGAAATTGATGACATGAATCAAAAGTTGCAGTGTCTTTGTCCAGTATTGATTAATATGAAGAGGCTGATCCTTCTTCATGATAATACTAGACTACATGTTGCACAATCAATGCTACGACGACTGAATGAGTTGGACTACGGAATTCTCTAATACTTATCTTATTCACCTGTGTGAGATTAGTTTCCAAAACCAGGATGACGTTAAAAATTCTTTTTGTGAGTTTCGTTTAGGGATTCAATTTTTTCTTATAGTGGAATAAAAAAGCTTTTTGAATGTTGACAAAAGTGCATTGATTGTGATGGAAATTATTTTGATTAAATATATATAGTTGAAATGAAGATTGGCGTATTTTCAATGAATATTGAAAACCTGTATTATTTTTGTTTCAATCCAGTATCTCTATTGACTAAATGAATTTTTTTTATTTTTTCCTGCATGTGCTCGGCATAAGAGTCTTATCATTATTGATATATTCTTTGGTATTTATTTTAGCTGCCCTCATATTCTTCCCAAGCACCATGTTAAATAATAGTGGTGATAAGGAGTCTCCCTATTTGACTCCTTTTTGAATAGCTAAATCTCTGGAAATTTCTCTCTTGGCCTTTTCTAAACCTCTACTTTTTTTTTAGGTCATCCTTACCAGCCTGATAAGTTTTATGGGGCAATCTTAAGCTTCTAGGTTTTCATAGATCTCATTTCTTCAAATATTCATAGAAATCATTTTATGCCTGTTTGTATTCTATGAACATATGGTGTAAATTAACCTTCCATTCATAGCATTTCTCTAGCATATTCCTGATAGTGAATATGTGATTATCAGTAGATCTTCCAGGGTGAAACCCATTTGAATACTCACCTATAATTTTTTTTTTTAATGTTATCATTAATCTTTTCAATAACAAGACAAGTAACACTTTATAAATTGTACATAGTGGTATTATCCATCTTTAATTTTATCACTATAATTTGTTGCCCTTTTTGTGTATTGGAACAATGATGGCCTTATACTATACTTTACACATTTATCTCATATTTTCCAGAATGGGCCCATAAATCTCCTGTCATGATGTGTCTCTTTATACAAGCATCTGAGATCCCATCGAATCAATGCTTAAATTAAATAAATCAAATTAATTAATTAATTAAATCAACACTTAAATAAAATATTTTTCTACTTCCTCAAGGTCTGTCATCTAATATTTCTGGTAGATTATCTGTTGGAATTTCTTTAAGGTTTTCTAGGTTTGGGTTAAGTAACTCATTGAAGTGATTTCTCCATTTTTCATTCATCTCTTCTTTGTCTTCCAGTAGTGTTATATACCTGTCTTTGCAGAAACTTATTCAGGGTTGGAATCCTTTTCTAAACACTTTAAGCCTTTAAAATTTAAAACTTGAAATTGAATTGAAGTTTCTGCTGTGTTTACTCTCGTAATACTCTATTATTGACTACATCTCTCTTTTTTTCCTTTGTTTGCTCTGCACAGTTTTATGGTACTTTCTCTCTTTTTTTGGATGCTTTTCTGGTTATAACACTTTTTCAAGACATAGAGGTAGCAGTTTAATTGAGAATGATCTAGGAAGTTTTCTTACTAATTTTTTCTTGATTCTAACATTTATTCGTTTTTCATATTCAGCATTATTTCTACTATGGTGTTAAATAATAAGAATAATTAGATTATTTTTGAATTGGGATAGTGACTGAATTTATAGTATAAGTTTGTATTAATATTAATTTTAATGATCAAAGTTTTAAAACTAATTCCTCTGTATTTTTTTAGCTAACTGTTAAACAATTGAAAGAACGCATAGCAGAACCAGTTAATGTACCTGTAGAATCACAAAGATTGATATATTGTGGTAGAGTTCTTGTTGATGAAAAGAAATTATCTGAATATGGTAATAAATTTAAAATGATTTATCCTTCTATTTTTGTAGATTTAGATTTATAATTAGTAAAATGTTTAATGTTGTATTTAGTTCACTTAGTGCCTTTTTATATCTTTTGATCAGTGTGATACACATCAAATGTTTCTTTGGTAGGATCATTCACAGTAGTTTCTGGTAGAACTATTTTCTAGTAGTTTTAAAGTTTTCATCCCTTTCTTAGCAAAATTCAATCTGATAACTCATTCTTAGGCAGTTATATCCTCTAAAAATTGTGATGATAGGTGTATTTAGTTAAATTGGTGACTTGTGGTACATGTTCATATTTATTTTCTTATAGCTTATAAGACGTATAAAATATTTTATATTAATAAATAAATCTTATGATGAGATTTTTTTTTTATTTTTTTTTTTTTGTTCTTCCCTACCTCGCCTATTAGGCTATACGGGATTTTCCCGGGCCGGGGAGTGAGGGCGGGGAATTTAAAATCCCCTCCGGCACCGGGACGCGAACTCATACTTTTTTTATATCATCTCAAATCTCTGTTATCCGGTTGCCAGGCAACTAGCGGTGCTGTGCACACGCTTTAACCTATTCGGCCACCCCGCCCCCCCTCTTATGATGAGATTATAAAATTATTGAGCAGAAGCCAGAAATGATGATGATTTTATGTATAAAGAATTTTATTATAGCTGGTGTTAAACCAACTGATCCCTGTATATTAGTTACTAAATATTGTTGACTCTCCATTTTTCTTGTACACTAAGTTTTACCGGTAAGTTCTCCTCTTTCCGTATTTAAGTTATCAGATTCTGCAGTTTCCAGATGACTTCATGCTGTCTGGCTTTTAACAATTCTTTGGTAAGTCTGTTCTTGACTACTAAAGGTCTTATCATTTTCACAGTTGAAGTTTTTGCTGGCCTTTATCAGCCTACATGGTCAATCTGGCTAGTTTTAGGTACCTTCTGGAATGAGCCATGTTTCCTTAAGTACGTTTTTATGAGGGGATATAGTGCTCATAAAACCACGAATTTCCCATTTACTAAGTATACAATCTTGTGTCCATTGACATTCAATGATGTAAGTTATTTGCTCCAATGATAGGTCTCAATTCCTTATCCTTCTGAACCTGTGCATTAAAGTCTCCCAAGACGAGTTTCATATCATAAGAAAGACAATTATTGCAGGCATCTTCTAGCTGTTTGTAGAAGATTCTTCCTCTTCTTCCTTATATTCTGTGGTAGCAAGCACACAAATCAGACAGATATTTCTGAAATGACCCCTGTTGCGCAGTTTGGATAGTCCACTAGTTAGTTGAGTTGGAAATCTAAGTTCTCAGATTTAATTCTATTTGAGACCATAAATGCTACTTTGAATTCATGTTTTTTTTTATTTTATTGCATAATATTATAAAGTCCCTTCCCTTTATATTGTCCTTCCCAGTCCATTTTATTTCTTGTATCATCTAAATATTTATGTTGTCCATCGATGTTATATCAGTAGGCTCAAAGGCTTCAGCTTTATAAAAAGTTCATACATTCCATATTCGAATGTAGCGCGTCCATTTCGAAGTCCTTTTTCTACATTTGAGGCTTTGTTGAGCATTTGTAACATTATGTTTTTTAATGATTTATATGGAAAGTCAGCCCATGAACCAACCTTTCTCCCTTATTCAGGCATAGGGCTGGTTTTGCCTCAAACAAGTATAGCTTTTTCCATTGATGGAGTTAATTTAGATCTTCATTTTTTTGCAAAATAGCATTACTCCTTAAACAGCATGAACCAGGAAAAGAAAAATACCTATTTAGTATTTTTATTTTCTTGATTTATGACTTAATGCAGTCAAACTAGATGCTTTAGACATGTTGAGCAAATAGTTTGTTGTTTATTAATGGAATATGCTGAATCTTGAAGAATACATATCATGTCAAGAATATTTGATAATATTAATAAGATAAAATAAATAAATTTCAGAGGCCTATTGTAAGTATTGAAGAAAAGAATAGTTGGGGTGATCAGCCAAATAAGAAGGCAAAAATAAATGATAATATTTATAACATTTATATTTAAATTTTTTTTTTTTTTTCTCCGCTACACTTTTGGAGACAGCCCTGATGAAGGCCTGAACTTCAGGTCGAAACGTCGGCAAATGTCAAAATAAATATCATTTATTTTTTCCTTCTTATTTGACTGGTCACTCCAACTATTCTTCTCTTCATTATTCACGACAGTCAACCATTTACCCACAATTATTGTAAGTATTAATTATTTTTATAAACAATATTACAGATGTTCATGGCAAGGTTATACACCTTGTTCAACGCGCTCCGCCATCAAGTAACAATGATACTACTAACTCAGGAAGCGAAGGTAGAACAAATACAGCTCCAAGGCGTGGTCCTTTTCGTACTATTATTGCTCCTGGTGGTAGAATGGACGGGGCAAGCGGTAATGCTATGTATCTGGGAGCAATGGCTTTTCCAGCCGATCTCATGGATGCTCAAGGTACTTTCTCCTTTTTTATTTTAATTATTTATTTATTTGGCATGGTTCTCATTTTAGTATCTATCTTAATTTTTAGGTATATCGATGCCACAACCTCGCCACAGATTGTCACAAAGTAGGCTCTCAGTGGCACGTGCTATGCTTCGAAGAGCCCGTTACACTCTTATTAATTTAGAAAGCCCTTCCCAGTCCGATCCTCTGCAAGAAATAAATGCTAACAAGTGAGTATATTTGTAATTATCATATTAAAGTTGGTTACTATATTATAGTTAACCTAAGTACATGTTTACAAATTAATTCCCTATCTAGAATAAAAATAATTACTTCTAAGTAATTATTAATTACTTCTAATAGAAACCCTTCAGTATTTTCTCCCCCTTCACTACAGACTACTGTTACATCACATGATTTGTTTGTTGTTTAAGCCTTTAAAGAATAGGAATAGGACTCTAACAAAACATAATCCAATTATAAAAAAAAAAGATCTCAACTATTTCGAGATTTTGTTATGCACCATTACTTTGCAGTAGACAGATTATTAAATTTAAGACTGATATTTTTCTAGATCTGCTGTACATCAAATTGATGTAATCTTAAAATATGTATTTTTATGAATATTTGCTGATTTATTTTCAGTGATGATTTACAAGGGAGCATTGCTGCTGTAGCCCAAGCAGCAACAACTGCTGCAATCGCTGCTGCTGTTAGTGGAACTAGCAATGTTGGTGTTCAACATCCACCACCAATCATAAATATTGAAGGTAAATCGATGAATTACTGTAATATCACCAATAGTTAATATCTATTACTTATTTATATTTTGTAGTAATATAGTCTAGTACTAATTTATATTGATACTATTAGTAATTTTATTTAGGCTGTATGAAAAAGATAGGGTTAATGAGGTTAAAGATTATATTATTTTTGGCATTGTATTTGGAAATTTGTTTTATTGAGTAATATAACATTCTGTCACATGGACAATGATTATAAAAATTCTTTTTATATTTCTTCTTTTTTTTAAGTAATAAATATTTGTTTTAAACACTTGCTTCAGTGGTGTGTTATTTTAATTAAAACACTAACTGTTCCAATACAGAAAACAAAGTTTTTGTATTTTTTTATTGTGTAAAAATTTCATATATGGCATCATATATATACTACTGTTTCTGACCGCTTCTGAAGTAGTGAAGCTGTTGGCAGTACAGTGATTATAGGTTTTGTTATATTGGAGCATTGTTTTGATGATAACAATCACTTTGATACGTTTTATTTTCTGTTTTTTTGTTTTTTTCATAAAATCTGGCCAAATTAAATAAAATTGTTTAAAATTTAAACAAACCTATAGTAAATCAATTTTCTAAGGTTGAAGTAACAAGATTATTTATTCCACCAATAGTATTTTACACAGAAATCCAAGTGACATTAAATAATAAACGTCAGGTAATACTCTAAAATTCACAAATTGAAAAATCATTTTGTATTTTTTAATTGGTGCTGATTTACTGATTACCTATTGAAATAGCTGTGAAACATTGCCTGCTGTATAGCTGGCATTGCAATCATATAGCAGGGCATTTCATTACAAATATATTTTATTTATTACTAATCAGTTTTGTAATAGTTACTATTACTTATCAAACTAATAATTAGTAATAAATTTTAAATCAGAATAAATTTAAAAACATCCTCATTTCTTAAAATAATACTTGATCATTCTATTAACATCAGAAATATTTTTATTTTATATTCAAAATATTACAAGAAACCATAATTTTGTAAAAGGTGAGCACTAATATGTAGATAATTGTTATAATCTGAACTACAGACATAACTTAACCTTGTTAATCAACTTTAACTTATCAGAAGAATGCCATGTATTAATTAAATAAGATTAAAACTTCGCCATTAAACCTATTGCTATGTTTCTGATACAAATAAAAAACACTAAATTTAAGGCTAACATTTTTATTTAAAATTATTTCAAACATGCTGAATTGAGAAGATTTGACTATGACGGTGAGCAGTTTCAGCGAAATAGACAGGCCTTAACTGTAGGCAGTATGGAATGGCGTTCAATGCCGTGGGCTGTACGAGCGAAATAGTACCTTAAGATAGATATGTGCCTGGGATGTTACAATTTTTTTTTTTTGTCTAAATTGCCTTACTAGAAGTGCCACTTTATATCATCGATTTCACGCATTTTTATAATTTTCTCGATGGCTCTAACGATTTTGATTAAATTCAATCATCGTGTAAAACTAAACTGTTTTTAATATGATGTAGCTCTTATTCTGATTGATATTCTGTTATAGGGCTTAAATGTCTTAATTTTTTTTTTTTATTCCTCTTAAAGTATCTTTAATTTTTTTTTTATTTTATAAATACTTTTTAAAATTTCAAAATACTTTGAAAGTTTACATTTAGTTAGTAAATTTCATTTAATTTCCTTGAAAACATGTGATTAACGTTAAATAATATTAGTTTTCAAAAATTATTATTTATAATTTTTTCGCCACTCTCCGTTACCCTCTACAACTTTCTATATTAGATATTGTTTTTAATAACTTAAGCTAACTTGCATGTTCTGTATAAGAAAGGTGATAAAAAGGACCCGATCAACTACAAAGGCATATCCTTACCTAATACTCAAGCAAAGTTATTCACTAGCATTCTGAGGAACAGAATCATGAAATTGGCTGAATTAGAAAAATTAATTCTACTATTACTAATTACTAAAATTAATTTAGGAGGAACAGGCTGGTTTTAGAACGGGCCGGGATGCATTGATCACAGTTCACATTGATGTCAGTTGTCAAGATTAATTTGAGTTCAAAGGGCATCTATGTATAGGCAGTGTTTGTGGACCTGAGGAAGGCCTTCGACATTATCAACCAAAACTTGTGGGAAAGGCTTTTTTCTCTTGAAATAGGGAAAACTAATTAGGCTTCTCAGGAAACTATATGATGCTTCATCGATGCAGATAAAGTTAAAACATGAGCTCTCAGAAGAGATTGGTATCAGCCTGGGCCTGCTTCAGGGAGAGAGTCTTAGTCCTGCATTGTTTATCCTGTTTGTGTTGGATATAGTTGAGTACTTCCGTGACCGAGGAGCTGTTGGTATTAGTATAGACCACAACCATGAAGTAGTTATGCTTCTGTTTGCTGATGACATTGTCCTCCTCAGTAATTCGTGGTATGGTGAACAAAGAAACATCAATATACTGAGCAAGTACTGTAAAAGCAAATCTTTGACCCTAAATCCAGCTAAGTCTAAGGTGTTGGTGTTCTACATATCTCCAAAGATGATGATGTATATATTTCCGTGTAACAATATTTATAGAAGGACTAGGTTTAATAAAACTAGGTATCAATTAAAATATAATGACACTTTCAAAAATGATGTTATGATTACATTAAAGAAATAATTTATGGTAAACTAAGCTGTTTTCTACTTTTTAAATTTGCTATTTATTTGAAATCTTTTTTGTCTTCTGATTTGAATTTTCTATTATGCAGTTAAATTTTGTATTCTTGTTTATACAGCTACTGGAGCAGATGGTGAAATGCAAGCTGAAGAGGCAGAGCCTACACCTGAAGGCAATAGTCCAGACGAATCACCTTCTGGAGAAGAATCAGTTCCGTAAGTTTTAGATGTAATTTATTTTATTTTTTTCTTAATAAGGAAGATATATTCGATTAGAAGTAAATTTCAATGTTTTTTTTTTTTTTTTTCATTTAAAGTTCTTTTTCTCCAAAAAGTTTGAGTATTTTTCTTTAGAACATAATATAATAAAATAAAAATATCTGAATATTGGTATTTTTACTACTCAGAATCCTTGTCTTCTGACCTCTTCATTTTATCTCTTCAATGAATTAAGATTGAAATTGGAGGAACCAAATATTTTTGTAAGATTAGAGTAGCCAAACCTCCAAGGTTAGGAACTATAGATTGTTAAAATGTTCATCATAAAAAGACATCAAGCTCTCAACACTGATATTATTTTGATCAAGTTTTCAAAAGATCTAACTTTAAATTTCAACTCAACAAAATGATTTGTTACTTCCAAAAACAGTTTATAAGGGTATGATGGAAACCACACAAAAATGGTGTAGATATTGAGAGATAAGGCTCATTACAACTTGATTGGTAAAAAAGTGAAATTTCTGTTATTATGGTTATTTCTGTATTATACTGAGAGAATAATGCAAGAATTATGATCAGCATCGTCAGATAAATTTATGGGAATAGTGGAGTTCCTGGTTTCCTCACTCTCATAATCTTCTTTGTGACTTTAACCTTTTGTGTTATCTCAATTCATAAGTCTACTTTGAAAAACTGTGAGCCCCACAAATTTAAAGCCTGTAGTTCAAATAAAATCTAATCAGTACAGAACATACTGGGGCAAGTAATGCTGTGAGGGATGATAAGTGAGGTTTACAAAAATAGAAACACTAAAATGTTTCGAGAATAAGTTGGTCTTCTTACAGAAAATTTTTATAAACCCTATCCCAAGGGCGGGCCTAATTAGTGCTGCCTATACATTCTCATAATTTAGTAATGCCTATTTCTGACTCTTCGACAATAATTTGTTCCATAAACTGCAGAATATGATCTCGTTCTTGTTCAGAGTTTGAAGTTAAAGAGAGAAATCGAGGCTACAGTGCTGCAAATTATAGCCTTCCAATGATCAGGTAATCACTAATATCCCATTATTTCTTACAATCTCTGAGGAAACTTAGATTTGAATTTAAACATATGTACATATTGTTTGTAGTTATTTTAATTTAAAATAATTAAGTTGCATTTTAAACAGATCTGTGTTTTTGTCTTGGCTGTCCATTGTAATTAATCAATGGACATATCGCTAGGGCCAGATGGAGTACTGATCCTCACAATAAAATATTCTGACGTATCAACACAATAAAAAAAATTGTAGAGATAATGCTCAAGGTGTCCTATGTTCCAGAACCACTTCGACAGGGGTGCACAATATTAATATATAAGGGCAAAGGTGATATAAACAATATCTCTATCTGGAGATCTATCACCATCTATTCTATTGTGTGCCGAATCATAGAGAAGGTTGTGGACCACAATTTAAGAAAGCAGGTCACCTTCCACAGGAATCAGAGAGGCTTTATAAAAGGCTTCTCGGGAACGCACGACAACACAAGGATTATCGGCGCTATATTAAAAAAATGCAAAAATGATGAAAAATGATTGCGGTAGTCTTCCTTGACTTTGTCGGTGCTTTTGACAATGTTGGTCAGATTTATATCATGAGCTCCTTACAAGTAAAAAGTGTGTCACTGAATCTTAAAAAATGTTATATCGGCTCTTCTCTGTACAAACACAATCAAGATTGGTAACGGTGTTCATGCTACAAGCCAAATCAAAGTGCTGTGCGTAGTGCCCCAAGGAGGTCCCTTGTAGTGTTTGCTCTTCAACCTGGCCATTGACCATCTCTATGTGACGAAGAATTTTCAAAAAAATTTCTTCACATGAGAAGGACTGGATCTTGTGGTAAGAGAGTAGACAGAAGACTTAAATTGAAGATCATATGTTTAGGAGGAGTGATGGCTGTTGGTAATCTGATAAAGGAAGGTGCCTTTGGAAATATTGAAGATGAGGGTAGGAACTAAGAGTCTACTGTTAGTTTCGGATAAGGAATGATGGAAGTGATGGAATGATTTGAGAGTAGAAATTGATCGTTGAGAGATGTAATTCCAGGAGAGAGTTTGATCAATGAAAAAGCCTAAGTTTTATTTAGTTAAATTAAATTAACTACTATGTGTGCTTTTAATATTACTTAATAAGAAAATATAGTTTATTTTCTATCAGTGTACAACAGACAACAGTTAGTAACTCTAAAAAAAAAAAACACTCAACCCATCTTCTTCTTAATGTGTTAAGATTTTATCATGCTGCATTTATGATGAACTTTTACAAATATAAACTATTCATAATAATTTTTTTTTTTTTAGGAATGCTAATGATGAGTCAACAGACAATGCACGTAATGGCAGATACAGATTCCCTGGCCCAGTCCATATGGCAGAATTAATAGCATATATTAGGGATATTGAAAGACGTCTTTCACCACATTTAGAAAGGTTTCATGATCTTGTTAGGCATGACCCTGTTTTAGAAAATCCAGTAAGTGTCATATATATTTTTTTTATAACTGAATCCTTAATTTAATACTAATTTCCTCAACCATTAAATGTGTAATTAAAAACTATCAATAATTTTTAAATATTTTTATCTAACAATCAGTAACCAATGAAACTCTACTGAATACAGCAATAAGAACTCTAATTCAGAAATTCAATCCGTTGTAATATGATGCAGTTTGAAGAGAAGATTTTCGCTATACAAAAAAATAAAGTAAAATTAGTCGTTTGTTAAAATCCCATTTCCCAGTACTTCTTAATAGGCATAGAAGTGGTAATATAAACAATTCAGACATGCTCTGGTAAATTAATCTAAAATAGTTTTTGGCCTTTCCTTATGACATGGTAAATATGAACTATATCAATAAATTGTGGGTTGATGGTTGACTGTAGTGAATAATGAAGAGAAGGATGCTTGGGGGTGATCAGTCAAAATAAGAATGGCTAAAATAAATTCATTCATTCATTCATGTGTGGCACGACATCCCGTTACCGAGATTGGGCCTCCTCCAAGAGCCTCCGCCAGTTGGCTCTGTCTTCTGCTGCAGCTCTCCAGTTCCGTACACCAAGCAGGGTTCTCGCATCATAGGCCACGTTGTCCAACCACCTCGTCCTCGGCCTTCCTACCCGTCTTGCGAGGTGCAGCTCCTCCATCATTATTTTCTTGGGTATCTCAACGGTGCTCATTCTGGCCACATGCCCTGCCCATCTTAGTCTGGCCAGTTTAATATAGGTGACTACGTCGATGTCTGCATAGAGAGAACTGAGCTCCCTATTTTTTCTTTTCCTCCAGACATCACCCTCCTTTACTGGACCATAAATCCTTCTGAGGACTCCTCGCTCAAACACACTCAGCTTCATCTCATCGTTTTTGGTCATCGTCCAAGCCTCTGAGCCATATGTCAAAACAGGCCGAACAAGAGTCTTGTATATGATCAGCTTGGTCTTCTTTGAGAGGTACCTACTTCTTAAGTGTCGGCCAAGTCCATAGACACATCTATTGGCAGCCGTGATCCTTCTTTGTATTTCTTGAGCCATGTCATTTTTGCTATTAATTTCAGACCCAAGGTATATAAAACTTTTCACTCTCTCAAACTTAAAAGAACCTACCTCAAATGGAGAGTTCAGATCCACCTCACCACCAACTCTCATATACTTAGTTTTCCTCTCGTTGACTTCTAGACCAAGTGGTCTTGCAGCTGCTTCAAGGCCTATAAACGCTTCTCTGAGAGCCTGTTCAGACCTACCTATTATGTCAATATCATCAGCAAAACCAAGAAGCTGTGTCAGGCGATTGAAGATTATATCGTTGGTCTGAATACCGGAGTCTCTTACAGCTTTCTCCTCTGCCAAGTTGAACAATAGACAGGCGAGGGCATCCCCTTGCCTAACCCCACTGCTCACTTTAAACTCTTCGGAGTCGTCAGAACCGACGCGTATTCTACATCTCGAGCTGTCCATGGTCATCTTGATTAGGCGTACGAGCTTCTGAGGGATGCTTAGCTCCTCCAAGGCACAGTATAGTTGCGTTCTATCAACGCTGTCGTATGCTGCTTTAAAGTCTAGGAATAAATGGTGGGTGACTACCTTATGCTCCATAGTCTTTTCTAGGATCATCCTCAGAGAGAACAGTTGATCAGTGGTTGAGCGTCCTCTTCGAAATCCAGCCTGATATTTCCCCAGTTCCTTTTCAGAATACGGGAGAATCCTCTCAAAAAGAATGTTAGAGAGCAGTTTATAAGCACACGAAAGGAGTGAGATTCCTCGATAGTTAGCGCATTCTGTTTGATCTCCTTTCTTATGTATTGGGCAGATAATGGCTGTTGCCCATTCCGTAGGCATAGCTTCCCTCTCCCAGATGGTCAGCATTAAATCATGCAGAGCTTTCTTAAGTTCTTCACCTCCACATTTCAACAGCTCTGACTGGATTCCGTCCGGGCCTGGCGCCTTTCCATTTTTCAATTTCATCAGGGCATTTTCCATTTCCTCCTCATCCGGGGGTTCAATAGAATTCAGGGAGTCTTCCTTCATTACTCCTACTTCTCCAGGCACCGTTCCTCTGTTTAATGCGTCTTTAAAATGTTGTACCCATCTCCTTAGTACGTCATCTTTGTGGCTTAAAAGAGATCCATTCGTGTCTTTGCATGCCGTCACTCTGGGCCTGAAAGCTGCCCTACCCTCGTTTATTCTCTGAAAAAACAGCCGACTTTCATTTTGGCCGCGCAATGCCTCTATATCCTCCATGTTCTTGTTTTCCCAAGCTCTTCTCTTTCCGCGGAATAATCTCTTCTCTTCGCGTCTTTTCCTTCGATATGTTTCTTGGGAGAGCCTTGTGGGACGCTGAACCTTCTTTCTGTAGGCTTCATTTTTCACTTTTACAGCTTGAAGGCACTCAGCATCAAACCATGGAGGCCTTCTAGATTTAGTCTCGTAGCCAAGAGATTCTTCTGCTGCCTGTTTCATTGCGTAGCTGCATCTCTTCCACTGTTCATCGACCATAGAGCTGTCATTAATTACATCTTCATTAAGTTTCGACTCCACAGCTTGTTGATAAGAATATTGGTGGTCTGAGTCCTTAAGTTTAGCTACATCAATCTTCTTCTTTGGTCGTTGGTGGTGGTTTTTAATCAGCGAAATTCGTGATCTGACCTCGGCAATGCTCAAGTAGTGATCCGTGTCCATATTTGCACCTCTATAAGATCTTGCATTTATCATGTTGGACTTGTGACGGGCACTAATGAGTACATGGTCTATCTGTGATGTTGTTTGCCCATTTGGAGAGATCCATGTGGCTTTGTGGATATTCTTTCGAGGAAAAAGAGTTGTTCCAACAACCAGTCCGTGCAATGTAGCAAAGTTCACCATCCGTAGCCCATTATCATTACTGGTCTTATGCAAGCTGTGGGTTCCTATGGTCGGCATGAGTGCCACCTCCTTACCAACTTGGGCTTTAAAGTCACCAAGAATGATTTTAACATCAGCTTTCTGTCACGCGTCCAAGTTCTTCATAAAATGTTTCCTTATCCTCCTCAGGTGACACCTCTGTTGGGGCATGGCAGTTAATTAGAGAGAAATTAAAAAATTTTCCTCTAAGCCGAATGTAGCATAACCTTTGGTTAATGGGAGTAAATCGCATCACCAGCTGTCGAGCTCTGCCTCTCACAACAAATCCGGTACCGAAGACGTGATGCTTTTCATGGCAGCTATAGTAGAGTGTATGGTACTTCTTCTCCATAATTCCCTGTCCTATCCATCGGACCTCTTGGATAGCTGCTATGTCGATTCTATATGTGTCCACTTCTGCAAGGAGCGCACGAAGTGCTCCTAGTCTATGTAATGATAAAATGTTCCAAAATCCAATTCTTAGGTCATTTAGGCGTTTCCTGGGTCTTTTACCGTAATTCAGTCCGGCTTCTTCTCTTTGAGGTTTCGTAATAAGGTACTTTAGGGGGGGTGGGTTATCAGCCCACTGCCCCCGAGTCAGGTAGACGGGCTGCCTCCTCCGAGCATCCTGACTAGCTCCCCCATCCGGGGCGGCTACCTAGGGAAGGTGACCCTAGGGTGTGTACTGTATGTGACCTTTGTCTGTAGTGCTTAGGTGTTGTAGTGTGCTGTATAAAGTGTACTTGGTGTGTGTGTTCGTGTAAGTGTTCCCCCAACCTGGAGAGCCAGTGGCTGGTTGCGGTACAATGACCGGGCGATGGGACCGCCACCTCCCTACGCCTCGGCTAAAATAAATAATAATATTTATTTTAACATTTTACAATGTTTCGACCCGAAGTTCAGGCCTTCATCGGGACTGAGAAAAGAAAAAAAAAATTAAAGTAAAATGAAGTAGATAAGTGAACATTAAAGTAAAATAAAATAGGTAGAATAATGACAATAACAAGGACTAAGAAATAAATAATAATAATAGTTACAAAGTGCACATAGAAAAAATATGTAAAATAGGTAAAATAGTTACATAGAAAAAATATGTAAAATAGGGAAAAGGAATATGAAGTTATCGAGATATTGTGAAGTCTATCAAAATTTACTGACAAGGTATAAGAGAATAAAGAGTTAAAATAAAGTAAAAAATAAAAGAGTAAATGTATCAATATATACAAAGTGGAGATGGAAATATAATGATAGGAAGAAGGAAATAAGGAGAAAACTACTCTTAGTTTTAATTTTAGATAAAGATGGTGCATGGCAGATTTATATGGGATAGAATTCCAAAAAGTGGTGGAACGGACAGTAAAGAAAGGAGTGTTGAAATGAGGCTGTTCCGTAGAAATGGGTATAAAGTTCAGAAGGACAAGATCTTTTGGATACTGAGTTGATAGATGACTTTAATTGAAAGAGATTGTCTGCATAGGACAGATGATGATTTGGTGAAGGAATGAATTGTTTAAACCTAGGAAGTATTTTCTTCTGAAGGATAGTAACAGCTTAACAACTCAGTGTAATAGTGGGAAACATGAGAACGTCTCAGGGTCTCATTGGCAAATCTTACCAAGCCATACATAATTTTTTTTTTAGTCTGTCTCCGAGTTTCGCCGAAAGGCCACTGTGCTCCATGCACCCATAGTAAAGATGAAGGAGGATACTATGAGTCTAGTTGTGAGCCTGAGTAAGAGATGGCAGAAGTGATGGAATATTTTCAGGGTACAACTTGAGTCGTGAGGCAATATGTTGATTTTAGGAGAGGGTTTGCTCAATGAAAATGCCTAAGTTTTCATCTGAGGAGTTGATGGTGATGCGATGGTCATTTAGGTACTGGATAGGAGTATTGTTACTAGATCTGAGGAGGGATTTGGAACCAATGACAATGGCCTGAGTTTTAGCAGCGTTTTAATCTTAATCCATTGAAGTTTGTCCAGGCATTGTTCCGATTTAGATCTTTTTTAATTTTGACAAACGGGTCATACAATTCAGAGGGAGATAAAACAAAATGTGAGTGACATTTTTATTTACTGTCTTAAATTGCTCATGTTTTTAAAATAATTTATCTGGTTTTGTATTAGTGTTTTTGTTGTGAATGTAATTACAGTACATTTTTTCTCTATGCTGCAAGAGAAGTTTCATTTTATATAATAATCCATCCATTGCCTGAATTTTATTTCTATTACTTTCAAAATAAATTTTCTTTCATAATTTTAATGTATTTTTATTGTTTTTTCTAGACTGAAGCACAGAGATTATTTGATCATGTTTCCAAAATGATGCATTTTCTGGCACATGCTTATCATGCCATTAGTGATATCATGTGTGACTTTTCACAACCTCCTCCGCGACGTCTCCGTTGCCGACCAGTTTTAATTCAACATTCAGCTGTTCTGCAGACAGGAATTCCAATACAGGTTTGTCAATATTTAAAATAATCCGTCAATATTTGAAATGTCTATAATTGAAAATAAGTCATTTTTTATTCAATTGGTCATTAATGCTATTCAGCAAAGTATCTATAATATTTGTTTTCCATTGAAGATTTTTTTATTTTCTTATGGATTTATTGGAGTTTTATTGATTAATTTTAGTATAAGTTTTATTTCTTCATGTGTTTTTTTTATTCATACATATGACTAAACCAAATTGGTTCATTGTCCAATAAGATATCTCCATATTTCTTAGCACCTAAGAGATTAAGTGCCATAGTCATGTTTTGTCGACATTTTTGTTTTTAAAAAATTGATTTTAGAATGATGTGCAGAATAAAAATTGCTCTTGACTTTATTAATTTGACTCCACGACTTACCTTACTTTAGATGCCTGTCCATGATGGAAGTATCCATAAAATATTTTGAAAAAAATTGGGTATTTTTCTAGGCGCAGCTCAACGTTGGAGGAAATCTGAATCAAGGTAATCAGAGTACAAGTTCTTCAGCCACCACCGAAACAGGATCAAATAATGAACCATCAGTTGGAACTGAGGCTCCTCAGGAAGAATCTAGACCTCCCACCTCTCAACCAGAAGCAACTCAAAGTCCGTCAAGTGGTAAGTTGAATTATCTCAACTGTTCACTTTATTTCTCTTAATTTGTTTATATCTTAGTACTATAATTATTTGTTTTCTTAATAATTTAGCTTGTTTAATTATTGTGTTATGATACTGGGGACCTTTATGGCAAATAATTTTATTATATATGTTTTTTTTTGGTTTGAATTTTGATCTACTGCCTATGTAAAACATAATCTCAGCAGTAAGAAAAGTTCTGAAGAGAGTTTCAAAGAAGGGATGGAAATGTTTTTTTTTTCATATCAACCAGCAGTTATACCTGAAGCTGCTCCTTGTGATAATAATTTAGTATCTCAAAGCATCACGGTTTATTTTATTATGGTATTCCCGTTTTTTTATTGGGCATACTACCATAATAATGCTACTTTTATTATTATTGGCTACCTTAGATTTAAGTGATAGTGGATTGCATTTATGGTAAGTTAAAGATTATGGGATTGTAATTTAACAATTGCTCTATTTTAGTTTAAAGGTGGCCAAATCTGTTTAATGTGGTTAGTTTGTTAGTTACTTTAATTTTGTTCAGAATTATGACATGCTGATAGTTACAGTTTAAATTATAGTGGTTTGGACAATTTTTAATTTGTGCATTTTACTTGCAGTTTGATCAGTTCTTGTTTTTCATTCTCTTCTCCTATTCCCCTTGCTGGATGGTAGAGACAATCTACTCCATAATCATAATTTTTAGTAGATGAAAAGACTTCAGTCATGCTGGACTTGTCTTGGACCTATCTCATGCCTACTTGACCCTTGCTCTCTGGAAGTTATCTTACTTCCCTGGCGTTATTTGAAATTAAATTACTAATTTATTGCGTTACCTAAACAATTATGGTACAATTCAATGTTATACCATCAATATTACACTATTTTCTCAAAAACGGCTCTTAACGATTTTAATTAAACTTGGTATATCAATGTATAGTTAAGTTATATTTTATATCATTTAGGTTCTTTCCTCATTGATGTCGCTTAACAACAGCGCTTAAATCTCCAATGTTCAAAATTGTCTTTCTCTAAAGTAACTTTTCTTTGGTTTATTTGAAAAAATTAACTGTCTCTCATTGCTAAGAGTTGCAAAAAAATTTTAAACATAACTTTTGAAAGAATTTGATAACTGAATAATGGAGAAAAAAAGGAAAAATGTAGATCGAAAATGTAGCTCCAGAAATAACAGTCAGAAGGTATACGTTTAATATATTGTTGGAAAACAGAGAATTTTTGAAAAAACAATATCTAATATAGAAAGTTGTAGAAGGTAATGAAGAGTTATGAAAAAAATATAAATAATAATTTCTTAAAACTAAAATTATTATCGAATATCACTGGAAAGCAGAGAATTTTAGAAAAAGCAATATCTAGTACAGAAAGTTGTAGAATGTAGTGGAGAGATACGATAATAGAGATACGATTTGTTATCTATAAGGTTTAAGCTTTAGCTCGGTTAAAAATGCACTTCAAAAATTTTGTAATAGCCTAACATTGCCAGAAAATAATTTCTATTCAGAGTTAAGCGGTAAGTGAAATTTGTGTGTTGATGCCAGCGGGCGCACCATTTTTTTAATTTTAAACTCTAATTTAATTAATTTTGCTATGAGTAATGTCTAAAACAAGGTCAATAGGATGATACAAAAGATAAAGACTGTTTTTAAGCTCCATCATACTATTTAAATGATTTAATACCTATTTGATATTAAATACCATTTCATTTTACATGGAAGCTTAGATAATAAGTTTAATAATAATAGTTAGTTTGACCCATCTTTTAGAAAATCATAAGAATGGGTAAAATCTTGATATAAAGTGCTAATTCTAAGTATATACTTACTTTAAATATGTAATTTCTGTTTTGTACAACTGTTCATTATAGAGCTTGATTGTTCACATGCATTAACGTGTAATCACACAAACACACTTTTTGCAACACTTGACTATTTAGACTCAGGAGACTTTTAAAACTTTTAATCCATTGAAAACTTCAACTTGAAATTTTTTACTAACTATTTTATTGCTTATGTATATGTTTTTAAAGAACAATATGGTTTTCTATAGATTGCAGAGCCATAATGGCTCTTCGATGAAATTTGTCTAGTCACCATGAAGCCCTTTAAATTTTTATAGATAGTACAATACATCATAAAAAAATAAAATAAAGCAGGAAAAAGTTATGAAGGAAAGAGAATTATATTCATGTATAAAAAAATATATATTTTTTTGGTTTATTATATATCTTTCTCTCTCTCTCTCTCTCTCTATATATATATATATATATATATATATATATATATATATATATATATATATATAACAGATTTAATTCTCTACCAAAAATAAAATCTTAATTGGACCACTTAAATCACAAACAAACAATTCCACAGATTCCCATAGAAATCTATTGTGTTGATAATTAAATTGTTGATGAAAGATGAAAATAAATTTATTATAAAATTCATTTAGTATTTAGTATATTTCATGTTACTTGTTGTATTTAATATTAATTACAGTTGTAAATTACAATAAAACAAAAATAATTTAGCCAGTTAGAATTTATTGAAATGTGTCTAATTTATATTATACTAGCTTTTCCCGGCTGCTGTGGCTTAGCCTTGCAAAATGAAAAAGAAAGAAAATAGAAAGCACATATGAGTAGATTAGTAGCAAAGGACATCTGTCATTTTTAAAAAGTTGGGAAACAACTTTGTCTGTAAAATGGCTTCAATTTAAACTAATTCTAATGTTTTTTTTTCTCATGATTCAAATTGAACATTCATAATTATCTGAGTGAATACGTCATCATTCATAATCATCAGAAACAGTCTTAGTTGAACTTATAAAACTAAATTAAAAAATTAATAAAAAAAACGTATAATAGTATTGACCTACATAAGGAGAATCATATAACTTCTTCAAATGATAATCTCAATTACTGTAGTAATTATAAAATTTTCGATTAATCAATAAAAAAATAAAATAAAAATTCTGAAGAGAAAGCAGTAAATGTTTAAACTCTGCAACAAACCGTCCGATTTCGATGATTTTTTTTTTATTTTGTCAGCGATTCAGAAACCTTTCAAATAAATGTGGGTATTATCAGTTAAAAATTGCGTACCATTTTAGTTATCGTCAAATAAAATATTGAATTCATCATAACATTTTCCAGCTTGTTTTCGAGAAAGTATGTTATACACATAAATTAAAAGGGTTTCAAGGGGAAGCCAAGTTTCGTTAAAATCGGTAAAGCCGTTTTGGCACTACAGTTTAAAGCGACACATTTTTTGCGGCTTTAAACAGAAAAACATTTACATTTTTATTTTTTATATATATATAAAATTATCGTAAGACAGACGTACTATGCCAGAAACCTTCCCAGGAGTGTACGGAAACCTTCCCAAAGTTTCATGGCGATCGGTTGAATGGTTTAGTAATGCACTAAGAACAAACAGACGGACAGACAGACAGACATTCATTTTTATATATATAGATGTTAAATGATTGACTCTATGATCATATGTCAAGAAAGAATTGGTACAGCATTCTGTCAGAAAAAACATTTAATTGTTAACAGTTACTATGTTTTTTCTAACCGACTCATGGATCATCTCCACCTCATTCTTTCTCTAAGTTCTTAAATATTTGTTAGTATTATGAAAAACGTCTGCCAAGTAAGGTCAGTATAGCTTCCTCACCGTTTCCGTTGTATACTACAAGGTATATACATATATATTTTTTTTCGTATGAGAATAATATCTCTGAGAGAAGCTGAATCGGAATAGCCGATTACAGTTACGCTTCAACATTCAACAAAAGAGTGTCGTATTTGAAGATTTCATACTTGATTATGCTTAGTAATAAAAAAAATGCATACTGAACATGAATTTCAATACTGTTGGTGCAAAAGGTCTTACGTAAAAATTTATTTATTGTTTTACAAGAGTGCATAAAAACTCATTATTTCTTTATGCTTTATTAGAATAATTTCATATTTTATTATCTTCTGCTATTTTCCATAGTAGCAGACTACTTCTAATAAAATTTTTACATACGAACTTTTGCTTTAATAATAGTGATATACACTACCGGATCCATATTTAATTTTGGGGGAGGGGTTTCAACCCGAAAGATTTATATATATACATATATATATATATATATATATATATATATATATATAAGATAAGGACAGGAGTCGGGCAGTATCAGCCTTAATACCTTCCTGGTATGTAAACAAAGCTCTAAAGTGTATATAAAAAGGATTACTTCACAAATAAAGCAGTATTGTTTCTGAAGCCGTGTGAGTCATTTAACAGCCCCTTTTCTCCTTTTTTTTTATCGCTTGATTTCAAAGTCGCATAAGTGGTGCCGAAACCCGGGAATATTGTTATTGCCCAGTAAGTAGGAAACTATTTTTTCTTTTTTCTCTCTTACTTGCTCAAACAGGAAAATAGAAGCAGAATGGCGACAGACGGAATCCCTAACCCGGGAATATCAATTGCACCTGAAGTTCATCAGGCTCCGGAAATTCCGCAGATTCCGGAAATCCCTCCGCTACCAAGGAACACATTGGCGGAAGCACACGCCAATGCCTTGGAGTGGATGAAAGTAAGAGCAGCGACCACTCAGGATCTAAGGAGAGCTATAGCGGACTTGGAACGCTTCGGTGGAGAGATAGGCGAGCTGAACCATTTTCTGAAAGGTGGGGACCGTCTCATTTCTAGAATCGAGGCAAAGGTGGCGGAAGATTTGGTGAACCTGGGAGATGCTGAAGCATTGAAAGCAGCCTTGGTATGTAGAGTACGGAGGAGTGTTCTTAACCAGATACAGGCAGACGAAGACACAGCATGGCCGGTGATCAAACAGAGGTTGAAGAAGGCTTTTGGGGGAGGCCGATGGACTCCAGAGGAGGACATCTTCCAGATGTTCAGGGAACGACGGTCGCAACGACAAACAATCGGGCAGTATGCGGGAGTACTATTGGCGTAGTT